AATGGCTCCCATCTGTTCCCTCTCTGGATGATGCCCTGGGTGACTGTCCTAACCTCAGAGGAGCCCTCCTCTCACCTTTGTCCCTGAGATTAGCTGGATGACCTCTGCCCTCACTCTCACCTTTGCCCCCATAGCCTAGCTCCGTGGTCAGCAAACTGCAGCTCAATGAGCCACATGTGACGCTTTGGCCCCTTGAGTGTGGCTCTTCCACAAAATACCACGGCCTGGGCGAGTCTATTTATAGAAGGGGCGTTAGAAGAAGTTTAAGTTTTAAAAATTTGGCTCTCAAAAGAAATTTCAATCGTTGTACTGTTGATCTTTGGCTCTGTTGACTAATGAGTTTGCTGACCACTGGCCTAGCTGGATGACCTCTGCATTGGAGTGGGGGGAGGGTGGGGAGCTTGAACTTCTGGCTTTGGAGCCTTTTCGATGGGCAGGCAGGGGCCCATCACTGTCTCTGTTTTCACCTGCCCGTGAGGCTGCAGGTGCTGATGGACAGGATAGAGCACCCTCAGGTCTGGCCCTCGTGTCTGCCCTGGGTACAGTGACCAGGGCATGCCTGCATGCAGACTTCCACTCCTGTTATCCCCATAGCCCAGGGCAATTCTCTGTCTGGATTTGCAAATAAGTAATGGGGCAGTTAGATTGTGGACCCCTCAAGCAAAAAACGGCGTTGGTGGGAAAGACAACAGTCCCCTCCTGCTTCTCTTTCTCTCTTCCTCCCTTGTCAGATCAGAGAACTCAGGGAGAGGGTAAGGAGAAGGACAAGGAATAGTATGAGTAACAGCTGCACAGTGTCTTCTGGAAAGTGGAGATAATCAGGGAGCTGTTGTGAGTCAGTGCTTCTCGGCCCCGGCTGCACATCAGTCACCAGCAGCTTTGAAGTACAGTAAATCCTCACTTAACGTCATCGACAGGTTCTGCAACGCTAAGCTAAACAACATATAAAGAAGCCAATTTTGCCAGAGGCTGATATGAACAAGAGTTACATTTCAGTAGCATCTCATCGCTTGCTATAATGAAATGACATTACTCAAGGATGGGCTGCATCCGGGTTCCCAGGCTGCAGCCCAGGCCCAGGAGATCAGAATCTCTGGAGACGGAACTCAGGCACCAGTAGTTGTAACTTCCTCACAAGACTCCAACGTGCAGCCAGCATTGAGAACTGTTGCTCTAAGGATGAAAAGAATTGGCTCATTGCTTAGAACAGAGATATTCCCACAGCTGGCCGTGCATTGGAATCATCAGGGGAGCTTTTAAAATTACACTGATCCCCTGACCACACATTACAGACCATGCAAATCAGTGACTTTTTTTTTTTAATTTGTTGATTTTGGTATAACATAATTGTCCTCATCCCCCCATTCCCATCCCAAACCCCTCCCCACATATGCTCCCACCCCCTGTTGTCCATGGCCACTGGTTAAGCTTATATGCATGCACACAAGTCCTTTGATTGATCTCTCCCTCTTACCCCCACCCTCCCCTGCCTTCCTTTTGAGGTTTGAGAGTCTGATCGCTGCTTCTCTTTCTCTGGGTCTGTTTTTGTTCATCAGTTTATGTTGTCCATTATTTCCTCTAGATATATGAGACCAAGAAATACCCTTGTAAGAACTGAAACTGAGACAAGCCATAATGGTTATGCTGAGAGGCAAACAAATCAGTCTGTAGTGAGTTCCTTTCTGGGCCAACAGTTCTTTTGAGTCCCAATTTCAATGTCAAACAGTTCCTTATGTGTACATGTCAGCCATGATAGTTCAGATCTGGTTGGTGGACAAACGGTGGTGATGCAGGTCCGACCCTCAATCAGTGACTTCTGTGTCTAATGCCTCTTGCTCAGCCTTCACCCGAGCCACAAACTCGTAGTTATAACAGCCACCACCAATCAGTGCTGACTACGGGCCAGCATCACAGACATTTGCAGCCTTCACAGTTCCCAGTGTATAGATGAGGAAGCTGATGCTCAGAGTAGGTAGCCTCTTGCCACAGGTGACAGTGTAAGTTCCTGAACCAGACCTGTCTGACCTGCTCTCACTGCCCAAAGCCTCACGGCCTGGGGGCTGGCCCTAGCGGGGCACATTCCCCACTCTTTCCAGGAACAGCTCCAGAAGAGAGGAAAACCAGCAAGAGTCCCTGGATCTCCTGAGACTCCCCAGGGCAGGTTGAGTGGAGGACCCCGATGCCCCCGAGAAGAGAGGGAAATGAGCGCTGTTGTCTGGCCTTTGGCTTGGCGCTGGTCATCCCCTCTCAAGATACCTCCTTTTGGCGGGAAGAAGATGCCTGCACGTTAGGCCTGACCCCCAGGCACCTCCTACTGCCACAGCTGCTCGCACAAAGAGAAAACTCAACCAGGAAAAGCAAACACTCATTTGCGTTTTGAAAGTTGGAGGAATTTTTCAGGCATGCAATATAGAAAAATGCCTTTGTTTCCCTCGTATGAATAGGGGAAGCTCTGTCAAGGTCACCTGAAATAGTGATTTCCGCTTTGTAAAAACCTGGTGCCTCCACCTCTGTGCTCTGTAAGTTTATACAAATTGCTTAAAAATCCTCACGCGTTGGTTTCTCACCAGTCGGCTGGGAAGAGGGAGCTCTGTCTGCCCTCAGGACTGCTGATGCCAAGCCCCTTGAGGTATCAGAGAGAGAGGAGAGAGTGTGGCGTCCGCCGGGAGACTCACAGCCGCCTGGACTGAAAGCTTCGTCAAGTGTTTGCTGGCTCCCACTGAAGGACCCAGTGTCCCCAAGGCCCAGAGTGGTTCCAAGTCACCAGCTGTGTTAGAGATCTTGCTTAATGTGTTCACTCCGGCTTGGGGAGGACTGGCTTCGCTCCACCTGCGTCAGACGGGCGTTTCGACAGCTGAGAGCATATTGAGGCATAAATAGCCGAAACTTTAACATTAGCGGACAATGCAGTATCAATTTGGCTCCACCAAGCCTTCCCTGCCCACCCCAGCCCCCGGGGCCCTCTCCCTCCGCAGAGCTCCCTTTGATCCCTGCCCTTTTCTGCCTGGCACAGAGCCTGGCACAGAGCGGATGCGCAGCCAGCGTTGAGTGAATGAGGATGTGTGTCTGGTGACATCTCTGCAGCGTGTTGGCATAGGTATTCCTTGCTGGCTCTACCTGACTCTTTTGTGTGTGTGTCACTTGGGTTTGTTTTGAAGGCTGCCTCCCGGAGTATTATTCTAGTAATGGGACGGTTCAGATGTGTGCTGTTTTCTGAGGTCGAGGCAGATCTCCGGAGCATTTCATTGTGTATTATAGCTCTTACCCCAGAGCCACTAAGAGAGTATACATCCCAAGTGTGGAGTCTGGTGGCCCCTTATTAAGCTTACCCTAAGACTCTCTGAGTTCTGTCTCAAGCAGTGGGTGTTGTGGCTGGCAAGGAAACATGGGGCCATGGTGGAAGGGGAGTGGGAGGACCCTAAGAAGGGTGGCCACCGGGCAGTCTCCAGGGACTTAGAGCTGCCCTCACTGGACGCCTGGACTGAGATGGCGAAGCAGAGGCTGCTGGCCTTCCCTGGGGGTGGGCGCACCCAGGGAAGCTGGCTCAGCGCCGCCTGCTGCTCTGGCATGGACACCACGTTATGGCTGCTGGTCTACAGAGTGAAGGCTTCCAGGCCCAGCCCTGACTCTTTTATCTTAGAGGCTTTGTGGACAGCAGGCTAGGTGCGGATTGCTGGGGCATGGCATTGCCATTAACCCTGTGATGACCTCAGGAGAGTGACTCGACTTCTGTGCCTCAGTTTCCAAGCATTCTACAGTTCTGTGGTCTCCTCAGCCCTCTCACCCTGATGAACTCCCACCATTAGTTATTCACAGTGTTAGGTTGCCTCCACCCCTACGAGGCTCCCTACCAACCCAGCCTGCAGAGCCTCTGGCCCGGTCTTTATATTAAGTTCATCATCCTCATATTTGCTGGGTCCCCTATTGTCCAGCCGCTTGGCTCATGTCAGGTAGTTGAGATTTTACGTGTGGGGAGGAGGTTGGAGCAAAGAGGCAAAAATGCAAATATAGGGGTAAGTGCTTGTCATTCACCTCAGAATTCCCAATGGATGAATCTGTGCTTACATCCAGATACGGGAGACTCAGCTGGATGATTCTTAACATTAGTATTTTGACCATGTCGGTCTTTTTAAAAATTCTCCCCAAGGATATGTTTTTACTGATTTTAGGGAGCAAGAAAGGAAGAGAGAGAGAAATATCAATGTGAAAGGGAAACGTTGATCAGTTGCCTTCCCTACATGCCCTGGCCAGAGATTGAACCACAACCTAGGTGGCAGGAATCGAACCTGCAATCTTTTTGGTACATGGGACGATGCTCCAACCAACTGAGCCACCTGGCCAGGGTATGCTAGTCTTTTTGTTTTTCCTTTCTAACCTTTCCATTACATAATTTAGGCCTCTGGGCATTGTGATTTCATCTGGTAAATAGTAGACTTGGGTTCCAGTTCAGGCTTTGGAATGACAAGGCGGTGTAATGTTTTTCTTGGCTAATTCTCACTCAAGAATATTTTCTCCATTGACTTTAGAGAGAGTGGAAAGGAAGGAAGGAAGGAAGGGTAGAGAGAGAGACAGAAAGGGAAACATTGATGTGAGAGAGATAACAGCAGTTGGTTACCTCCTGCACATGTCCCGACAGGGGCTGGGAATCAAACCTGAAACCCAGGTAAAGGCCCTTGACTGGGAATCAAACCTGTGATTTTGGTGGATGGCTCAACGCTCTATCCATAAAGCCACACTGGCCAGGGCAAGGCTGTGTCATTTTGATCAAATCAGGACCTCAGTGTTCACTTCCATACACTGGAAACAACAATGCTAACATTCGTTCAGGGCCCATATGAACAGAAGGGAAGCCCAGTACCTGTCTCATCTCAGCCACTGGCTGAGGGCCAGGTGGGATGCTGGCTGGTGGAGGATTTGTGCTGAGCTGGCAGAGGGACTCTGAATTAGTGTCCCGGAAGGCCCCAGCGACACCCTAATTGTGCGAGTCTGTGTCCCCACAGCGGCCAGTTTGCCATTGTGAAGAAGTGCCGGGAGAAGAGCACTGGGCTGGAGTACGCAGCCAAGTTCATCAAGAAGCGGCAGAGCCGGGCCAGCCGGCGGGGCGTGTGCCGGGAGGACATCGAGCGGGAGGTGAGCATCCTGCGGCAGGTGCTGCATCCCAACATCATCACGCTGCATGACGTCTTTGAGAACCGCACCGACGTGGTGCTCATCCTGGAGCTGTGAGTGGGCTGCCGGGACCATGGTGGGCAGCAGGGGCAGGCCAGGCACAGGAGCTCCAGCCGCAGGCCCCAGAGGAGGCGAAGTTAGGGGTGGGTGTTGCCCTCAGTGACCGCCTCCCCGCCCCCAGCCTCCTTCCAAACCTGGGGAAAAGCAGGGGCCAAGCAGCGGAGAGAGGTGACAGGCTAGGTCTGGCTTTCACGTGCCCTGGGGATAAAAGGGAAGGGCTGGCTGGCTCTGGGTCATTTCCTGGCTGGCACGCAGGTGGGAGGATGGAGCGGGGAGCGGAGGGGGCAGCAGGGGAGATGGTCAGGCAGGGGTCTGTTCTGTGACCGAGGGAAACAAACATTGCTTGGGCTCTGCGAAGCCCTTCTCCAGCCCTTTCCTGGAAAAATCTGCTGCATTTGTGCTGTGATGCCTTTACTGTTATAATAACTATTATTTAGAGAGCATTTGCCACATGTTTCATGCTTGTCATGTTTAGTCCTCACGGGGACTGTGATGAAGGAAGTATCCCACTAACACAGAGGTTGCTTTACAGTCATTGTGCCAGACACGTCTCTTACCTCGTCTATTCCTCATACTAATCCTATCACACAGACTGTCCTTATTCCCATTTTACCAACAAAAACACTTTGGCCAGGTCACTCACTTACCAGCTCTGTTAGCCAGGAAGTGGTAGGGTTACCGGACCGAACCCGGCCCAAACTTTCAATAGTAGCCAGCCAAAAGACAATGCAGATGATTTTATGAAAAGGAACTTAATCACAGGCTTATGCACAAGGAACATGCTAGGGATCACTCCCAGAACAGTGTTCCTTAAGCAAAGCATCTGATCTAACTTTATTGGGGGAAATCGTGCATAAACATCAAGGTAAGCTTTGTCATGGAATGGATAGGTGGGGACATGCCAGGGCACCGACAGTTAGAAAACTGCCTGTACATATATTGCATATTCAAAATTGGTGGGAAATCGCCTCTGGTTGGAGATTTTAGTATTATCATGAGAATATAATGAGGAAAGTTCAGCAGGAGGTCACTGGATGGTTTTTCAAGCTGTCTCACGGTTTCAGCTGGTTCACCTCCTGGTCCTGGGCTTGTTCCTGGACAGTCCCTGGCGATGCTCTACTTTGGGGATTGCAGTTGTTATGGAAGGAATTTTAGCTGATTACATCTTGGTCTTTCTGTGAAACTTAGCAAATTATGAGATAATGCATCACACAAACCATATAAAGTCTAGGGTGATCTAAGTGAGGTTCCAGGTTAATCAAGGCAAAGTTAGAAACTCTAGGTTACATGTATAGGTTAGGTTGCACCAGGACTTGAGCAGACAGCTGTGAGCATGAGGTAAGATGGCATTATGCTGGCCCATCCCGGTGGAATTTGGATAGGTGACACCAAGTTCTCAGGATTGTCCCTCCTGGAGGTGTCTCCATGGAATGAAGATGTGGGGTTCTGGCAGACAAGTGAGTTTGAGTTAGGCTGTGGCATAAGTCACAGTGGCTGTGCCGGGTCAAGCAGCAGGACACTGTGTATGCATCTGCCAGTTAGCCGAGGAGTGGTGGCACTTATCTCAGCAGTCCTTGACTTTGTGACCTTAGGCAAAGTCACCTCATCCACCTGAGCTTTGTACAAATTTTTTTAAATATATTTTATTATTGATTTTGTACAAAGAGGAAGGGAGAGAGATAGAGAGTTAGAAACATCGATGAGAGAGTGTCATCAATCAACTGCCTCTTGCACACCCCCCACTGGGGATATGCCCGCAACCAAGGTACATGCCCTTGTCCAGAATCGAACCAGGGACCCTTCAGTCCCCAAGCGACGCTCTATCCATTGAGCCAAACCGGTCTCAGCCACCTGAGCTTTGGATCTCATCTGTAAACCAGGCAGCCATCCTTAACCTTCCTACAGGAGGGGTGGACCACTGGCATTTGAGGCCATTCTAATTTGAGAATTATGCTCTGTCTTTGCCAGGATATAGATTTATGTGGCAGATTGGCATTTGCATGCTCTTGCATTTGATTCTTAAATTATTATCTCAATGTTTAAATGCACGTGTTGCCCATGTTCCCCCTTCTCTAACTCCCAGCATCCTCTCTATTTCTCCCATGGACCCCTCAACCAGTTGGACTAGTTGGTGTATGCACCTTCCTGGCCCAGACAAGCCTGATGGTTCCTACAGTGTGGCCAGCCATGTGGACAGCCCAAGGTGTGGCATGCCCCAAGGCTAAGGGTCACTGGTTGGCACATGGATTCCCAGCAGAGTGAGAAGCCCATCTTCACTGGGAAGGCCAGGCCACGCCTTTAAAAAGTCCATTACCAACAAAACTTGACCGCGTCTGAGAAGAAATTACATTCATAATCCCACCACCCAATCATAGCTATTTATGTTTATTTTTTGTGTGTGTGGTTCCTCTGTTTTTATCTATTTGTACACAGTCATCGTCCTTATAGATTTTCCTGCTCTACTTTCCTCCCAGTACACATAATTCCATAAGTAGCTTTTTTTCTTTTAACTGACTATATCTTGTTTCATTAAATTACATACCTGTCTTTCCCTCTTGTTGGTTATTTGGTTTTTATTTTCCAGCTTTTAAAAAAATATATTTTACTGATTTTTTACAGAAAGGAAGAGAGAGGGATAGAGAGTTAGAAACAACGATGAGAGAGAATCATCGATCAGCTGCCTCTTGCACACCCCCTATCGGGGATGTGCCTGCAACCAAGGTATATGCCCTTCACCGAAATCAAACCTGGGACCTTTCAGTCTGCAAGCTGATGTTCTATCCACTGAGCCAAACCGGTTTTGGCTATTTTCCAGCTTTTAATCATTATAAATTTCACTGCCATAAAACAACCTTCTTCCCATAATTTTCCCCTTTTGTTTTGAATTCATTCTTTCAGATAAACCCTCAGGACTGGGATGACCAGGCTGACATTTTTAGGGCTCCTGAGCTCCTCACTTTCATACATTGATGTTGATTAACCAGTACCACCTGCAACACCGCAGGGTTCCTATTTGCCGGCAGCCTTGCTAACCCTGCGTCACTTATTTTAAAACAGGGTTCATTAATTATTGACCTGTATAGTTAGAAAATGATACTTTGTCGTCATTTCTTTTGTTATTGTTAATCCTCACCTGAAGATATTTTCCTGCTGATCTTTAATGAAAGGGGGAGGGAGGGAGAGAGGAAAAGAGAGAGAGAGAGGGACGTGAGAGAGACATATCTATTTGTTTCCTACTGCTTGTACCCCAGCTGGGTCCCAGGACTGAACCTGCAACCAAAATATGTGCCCTTGACTGGGATTCGAACCCTCCACCCTTCAGTCTGTGAGCCGAATCTCTAACCACTGAATCACACTTACCAGGGCACTTGGTTATTTTAATTGGCATTTCTGTAATTGCTGGGGAAATTGTCTGTTTCTCCGTTTATAGAATCCCAGGAGTTGGGGTCTGGGATGATCTTGAGATGTCCCTGTTTCTCCCAGCAAGACTCATGGTCAACCAACAGTTATGTGCCTTCTTGAGAGCTGTCACCATTCGTATTATCCGTTGTCACACTGCTGCTCCTGTGACTTGCTTGAGCTGCTGTGCTTGTTTGAGTTCTGTTTCTAGTTTCTCTGTCTCCTCCTTACTTTCAGGCTGTCTCACTGCTCTCGGGGAGCCTGTCTGTGCATGGGGTGCTAGGAATTGCTAAGATTGTGCCTAAACCATGCATGCTCAGGGAATGAGAGTGAAGACCTCTCATTCCCTGAGAGGCTGATCAGGAGCCTTTGGCCTCCTGGTCCTCACTGTGCTTTGGTAGGGTAGTGGGTTTGCCCAATAATTAAACATGGGTATTAGTGCCCATCTGCTCAGTTGTAATTTGCAAGTTTTGTGGTTGGGTTTACATTGATACCACTGTCCCCTCGCTCTCTCAGCACCTGTTGTCTGGGGTGGGCTTCCTCCTGATTTCTGCTAAGGTGTCCAGCTCTAGGTGGACATGCTCATCCCTGACTTAGGTCCCTTTCAGCTGTTATTACCTCAAGTATGATCCCCTTAGCAGCAGCTACCTCTGGCCAGGGCTGTTGAAGGCCAGGTTAGGGAGGATTTAGTTTTCTGTGTGATTGATTTCTGTATGCTGTAAAGAATATTTTCAATAGATTAGCTCATGTCACATGTGAAGCTTGCTCTGGAAAACAGACATCTGCTCTGAGAGGGTTGGGCTGGTCTCCCGTCCCAGGCCCCTGGCCTCTCTGGGGCTTCCTTGACTCTACGTTAGTGGAAAGTGGTTCCCTGGCAGTTGCATTCCGGAGAATGGCCTGGGAGAGGGCTCCAAGGTGGAGGCAGTGCTTCCCAGTTTCCCAGATGGAGTCCAGCTCCCTCGGCCCCAATGGATTGGTCAGCATTCTTCAAATCACTGCCTGCAGGTCATTCGGACACACGTTCCTGAAAGAGTGCTGAACGTGTTTCTAGCAGGAAGACCAACCTGCAGGCATGAAGGAGGCAAAGGACTGATTAGCAGGAAGGGGACTGATGGTGGGGACTCTGGAAGGAGAGCAGAGGAGGTCCAGCCTGTTAGGTTTTTGCTTTTCATCTTTAAGCTAAACAGGTTTGGGACATGAACGGAGAGAAGCTTGGGAGGAGGTGGGCAAAGGCTCCAGGGAAGAGGGCGTGGGGCTGAGAAATCCCTGGGAGAAAATATGTTAGGGGGGAAATGAACAGAATCTTGAGATGAGTTGCCTGAGCATTGATGTGAGTGACCCCAGCATGGGCCCCTAGGACTGGTATGCTCACCACTCTCCCCTTTTCTGAGTCTCTTGGGGAGATTCTAAGGGTCTCTGTGGCTGTTCCCTTCATTCAAAGGAGATATGGTCTCACCTGGTCTCTTGCCCACATCACACCTTCAAACAGAATGGCGGATGTCCCCCAGAGTCGTCACATAGCCTTTACATCAGGGACTTTGGATGGCCAACACCTCTGCATCACCATGATATTCTTTTGCATATATACAGCATT